ATTTCCTTTTCTAGGTGAGAAAACTCTATACTTCCTTGAATACCCAGCTCTAACATCTCCTACCATAAGAGACTTCCCCGTCTACCCATTCAGAAGTGACACCTCTTCCCTCTGCTTTTCTATAGGGCTTCCCAACAGGACCTGTACTATAAACGATGAAGCATGGGATTAAGTTAGTTGCGTACAAACGTGCTTTTTGCCCTATAGACAGGGTCCATGTCTACAGGGATCAACAAGTTTTCATGATCTGCAATAGGTTTGGGGCTGCCTTTGATATTAGCTGTGTTGGTGGGCTGTACGCACTGTAACTATTTAAAATCTTAAATAAAAAATAGGAGAGTTTTAGCATAGGATGAATTTTACTTTCCCAAATATACATACATACTTGAAGTAGGATGTTTTACTTTATTGTTATTTGGGTTTTCTTTTACTCGGAAAAGCTGAGCTAAAAATCTGATTTTTAGCTCCAAGAAATCAAGACCAAAGGAAATCAAACAGAAGACATAATGGGAACTATTTTTTAGATGATAAAGAGATGTAATAACACTTATTACTGGGCATCTCTGAGACTATTAAAATCCTCTTTTTATCAGAGCCTCATGATATACAAAAGTTATAGGAAAATAAAAATGGGGAACTATTGAGACATCACGGGACATTAATTAATGTAGTCCACTCTAGTTTCTAACACTACATTTTTGTGGTCTAGTGAAGTTGACTTAGATCAAAAAAGAGATTCTAATTCCTAGCATCTTGTCTTGGGGTCAGAGATGGGATATTTGGGGAGATTCCTGGTTCTGGTGGTCAGTGCTAGCAATTAGATCAGTGGTTCACAGGTTGCAGTTCATAGACCAGGGCCCATGTCTGGTGAAGTTTCTTTCTAGGGCCCCCTGACCTTTCTGAGAGCACCAGTTCTTGATCCTGAACTACTCACTCACCCATTTTCTATATATCAGGTCTGTCTATCATCATGCAGGAAGTGAGACAGGATGTCCAGGCCAGAGGGGTGGGAGGACAAGCACCTTCTTTCCCGCCTCATGCTTACAAGGGAAATGTGGTTCATTTTTATTGCTTGTCAAGGCTAGTGAATACTGGTAGAAATAATCCTAAAATAATTTCTACATAATTTTGGGTCAACCTACAGAATTATTTCCTTTATTCAAACAGGCTTTCAAATTCTGTTTTTGCCAAGGATAATTTAAGATTGTTTTGTAATTGTTTCACTAGATTCGTGGAAGGTAAATACCAAAGGAAAAACTGCCTTTGCACTTAGAACAACCTCTGTTGTGTTTCATGGCTACACATCAAAAACCTATGTTCAGATAACCACAATTAATTATATCTACTGGGACTAAACCATGCTTCTGCATCTTGATTTGTTGAGCAAAACCCTGGATATGCTGTTGGTCCTCTCTTTTATTTTATTATTTTTTTAAATATATATATACAGAGAAACAGCAAAGCTTAGCAAAAAGATTAAAAGTGAGAACACAGTCTATGCTAGGTGGCAGCATGGTCTTGGAGTCACTTCCTTGCACAAAATAACAAGTCCTATTCATAGTGTCTTTTGTAGATGGACAACCACATAGGAAGTGTGGACGTGTGGGTGTATATATATATGTATGTACAATACATACACTATATATATACATGGTTCACGAATCAGTAGGTTTCAGGGATCACATCCTTTCCAATCGGCACAATGCCCAGCGCAGAGCCATGCACATGTGCCACTTCACTGATGGTGATGGCAGTGACAGGGATGCAGGTGAGCACGCAGCAGAGGACAGCGCAGCGCCGAAAAGCCTCCCCTTCCCCTAGCCCCTGTGCCACTCCTGAGCGGACCCCCTGCTGCTCCTGGATCTCTCATAATTGTCTCCTCTGCCCCACTAGGGTGTTGCGCCCAACATACCTTTTCTAAAAGCTCCTGGTTTCTCTTAATGAAAAGTTGTTTATCTTCTACCCAGTGTGAATCCTGTTTGACAAAGAATATCGCGCAGTCAGCATTTCAGAGTGGCACGGGAGAGCAATGTGTCGTCAAAACCCTTGGCCAGAACGGTCTTCTTTTCACCCAGGTTGTTTGCCTGCCAATGCCTGGTAAATGAAGCCCACCCCTGCCAGCTCCTGATTCAAAGACATCGGGGCCAAAGTTGCCAGGAAAATTTAATCCCCTTTCTCCTTGTCACTCACTCTCTCTACCTTTTTCCATCTGATTAATCCAGGACCAGCCTTCTGGGGACTCAGAAGTGACCACATAGGCAAAAAGTGACAAGGGTCAAAATGCACACAGGCTCGATACATATGGATGGAAAACATTAAAATGTAGAACCATAAATGTAGCAGAGAGGCAAAGAATGCAGCTGGAGGGGCGGGTCTTTGTCTTAGCAGTTTAGGACCACTCTAGGCTATTTGAACAGAGCTCTTCTTCCTCTGGCCTCCTCTCTCTTGCCCAACCTCATTCGCTGCTGTAGCTGGGTTCACACTCTGGCCAGGAAAAACACCAGGGACAGAAACACAGAGGTGAACATTCTGACACCGTTTGAGAAAGGTCACTGTGGAGAGCCAAGCCGTGTCCTGGTTGCGGCCCATGCACAGGCTGATCTAGAGAAAGGTCGGGTGGAGTTGTCTGCCGCTGCAGAAGAAGCAGCCACCAAATGCCTACCTGCCCTTTCTGAGCCAGAGTCGCTTCCAGGTCTTCAATTTTGGCTTTATACCTGAGCACCTCTGCTTGGAGCTGTTCTTGAGCCTGGTGAAATCAAATTTCCAGAACTCAGTAAGTAAAATGGTAATTCAGTATTTTTCTTCCCATCATCTTCCTTGATTAGCGCTCAACAAGAAGAAAAAAATAAAAGAATTTTTGACCAGAGAACCTCTTACAATNTTTTTTTTTTTTTTTAAGGAGCAAATCCCAGGAATTACATGCTTCACATGTAAATACGTCAATATGCATCCCTAACAGACAAGGCCATTAAAACAAAACAAAACAAAACAAAAACATAGCCGCAGGCCATTTCTACACCTTGAAAAATTAAAATTAATTCCCGTTGTCTTCTGGTACCTGGTCCATATTAGAATTTCACCAGTTGTCAGCAAAATGCCCTTTTTTCCACACTTGGTTTGCTTGAATCAGGATGCCAACAAAGATCATTTCAGTATTTCTTAAGTACCTTTTTTATTTTATAGCAGTCCTTCTCTCTCCCTCTGCCATTGTTTTTCTTTTTCTTTTTTCTTGATGGCATTGTTTTGTTTGAATAACTTAACTGACTTATTTAACCTGTAGAGTTCCCTCATTTCAGACTGGAGTAACCTGATGGTTCACTCATGGTTTCATTTAATTTATAACAAGCTTTATACACATTAAGGAATTAAGAAAGCATCTCAAGGTTCTTATACAGTTCTCATTTTATCCAACCATGTATACGTGAGTCAACTATGCACTGATTGTCCAGGCACCCCCAATACAGCCAACTATCAGGCTTCTCCCCTTGGCTCTTTCCTGTTCTCTCACTCTAACCCATTTACCAGGTTGAGACACACAGGGGCCAGAGCATACTCTGTTGCTCTTTTGACAGTCCAGAGGTTGGGCTTCCTGAACAGTGAGCCACCACCAAGTCACAGAATCAGTTTGGAACAATTTGTACGTACACAATGCAAGGAAAAGCCTATACAAAGAGCCAGGCTCTAGTTTACCACCTCTCAACTGTTAAAGAGAAAACCACGGGCCCAAAATGGCATCATTAGTGCTCAAGCCCATGATACCAAACCTAAACTTAGTATCTGACCTAATTATAGTTTAGATCTTCATCACGCAGGTAATCTTAATCAGCCAATCTGGAATTTTCTGGTCAACAGTAATGACATGACGGAATCTGTCACTTGGACCCTTCTCCATTCCCCATAGGAAGGAGAGGCAATCTATATGATAAAACCATGGCTGTTTCCTCCCCCAACTCTCCCAAAAGATGTTCAGACCTAAACATAATTTCTTTTCTTTTGCAAAAGCTCTTTTGCCCCACCCTTCTTCCTATAAAAACCTTCCATTTTGTACAACCCCTAGGAGTGCCCTTCAGGTTACTAGATGGGAAGCTGCCATATTCCATGAATGTCTTAATAAAGCCAATTAGATCTTCAAATGTACTCGGTTGAATTTTGTTTTAACAACAAAGCCCTTCTTAATTGGTTTCCCAACTTGATAGGGATTGCTTGAATAATGTAAGTTAGAAGGTTTNATGTAAAAAGGGTGAACCATCAATAATTATACACAGAAGTTATCATCTTTTCTTCCCTCAATGGTGATGAATCATCTAGTTCATCTTACCCTGGAGACAATTGCCTAAAATCCCAGAGCTCTTGTTATTCACAGAATAAAGACAGATAGGCAAAGAGGAAACCCAAAGGCACTAAAGGTCTCAGTCCACAATTGTTGGTAACACAGACTTCAGCCGGATGCAAATGGAGGTCCTACCTGCTCCACCTACTTCACCAGGTGTTGAAGTCATGGTCAAAAGATCTGGACTGGGATTTCAGCTCTGTCATGTACTTATGATGTTGCTGCTTATGCAACAAATATTTATTAAACTGCAACATGTGTGAATTAGGGGTTGGGAAACAAGAAGTATATAGTTCTGCTATTTGTAGGCAAAATATTTCATTGCTAAGTCTCTGAATTTTGACACTGGAAGTCAGTTATAAGATATACATACCCACACTGCCTACCTAGTCACATTACAATGCATTTGAAAGTTCTTTTAATGTGCTTTGCAGGTACTGTTTGTGTTACAAAATTAGTTAACAAATTCACTTATTATAATTACTTATAATCAGATTATGACTGAAAAGGTATCAAACAGTTTAGTAATATAAAGTATTTTTAGAATACAGTCTCTTCAACCTGTTTACATATTGAACATATGAACTTGGGCATTTGGGGCTAATCCAACATTCTTAAGTGCTTCCAGTGTATGCTGATTTCTTGGCTACTTGTCCTTGGGAACAGCCTAGCATTTATAGACTGACTGATCAAGACCTACCCTGGTGAGCTCATCAATAATGTTCTGTTGCTCGATGACCTGAAGTTTTAGAAACTCTGTCTCTTGTTCTTCATTAGCTTGATCGAGGTCATTCAGAGATTTTAATTTCTTCAAGGGCGGGTGGGATGTTATTTTCTCTCTCTGGATTGCAAAATAAAAAAGTACAGGTGGAGATTTTAAAGTTCCCAAACTGTAGTGGGTAACGTAAAATATCTGTAGGAACTTTATGAGGCTCCAGCTAAATCTGAACATTGCTCAGCTTCAAAACACGCACATCCCAACTAAAACCCTCAAATACATTTTACCTGTGCTAAGTCAAAATCACTGGGAATATCTGAAGATCTCTACAGCTATATTGAAAGTCTGTTATGGAGTGCATTAGCATCTCATATATCCATACATTATAGAAAAGATGGCATCTATTTGCCAACTACTATGCAAGCTCTTAGAAGATGAGGGATAGCCACTGTACAGTTCTGTAAAGAGCACGTTAGTAAAATTCTTGGAAGGAGGTGCCTGAGGCTGAGGAGCTATGTTGAAANTTTTTTTAGGTGTTCAGCATTAATTTCATCTGATGGAAAACAGCTGATTTTTACTCTATTCCTTGAATCAGCTGAACGAAGCTGAACTCCATTTGAAAGAGTTCCCTTGGATGTAAATTATATCCACTGGATTAGGCTGTTTATGATTTATCTAAGAAAAAAAGCATCTAAGGAAAAGATGAAGTAAAGTGCTTTTCATTTAATTAGAGTTGAATCAAAAAATTGCTTTGGTTTACAAATTTTCATGTAGCCCTGGAAGGCCAGAAGTTTAAACACCATGAAAGCGGTTTAAGATGAAAGACAACGAAGCACACTTTTACTACCTAATTCCCTCCACCACCCTCCCCACCACCACCACCACCACTGCCACATTTTATTTCATTAGTACCACTTTCTCCTCTTACTTATGTTCAAATGCAGTATAGCAGGTCCCTACCATCAGAAAGGGGAAAGTCTTAAGCTCAATATCACAGGTAGAGAGAAGGCAACTAAAGCAGGTATATATGGCAGCTCAGAGTGGGAGCACAAAGGGCCATGCAGAAGGTAAAGAAGAGGCCAGAAATAGCGGGAGGCTTCCCAGCTTTATCTCTGGAATAAATAATTCACCATGTGCTTTCATTGCATTGAAGGACGATATGTTTGCTAAGAAGTGGAGTCACCTCCTTTCAACCTAAATATTTAAAATGTATTCTAATACCACTATAGATATTGGGTCGTCGAGAAAGTCACAACACATTTTTGCATTAAAAAACATAGAAGAATACGTCATGACTTTCTCAATGACCCAATAGAAATATATTTTGTCTAAGTGAGCAATATGTTATAAACTGTTAAGTCCTTCCACAAGAGAAACCCTCCCTAAATTAAACATGTCTAAAGAGATGGTGGATGACTAGGTGGTTTCAAAGTTTCTTCTAATGCTCCAATTTCAAGATGATGAATTCCACAGCACTTAGAACAGCACAACAAAGGGACTCGATAATCTGGCATAACTGAAATATGTTTCTTGAAGTGTTGAATTTATTTAATAGTTCCTCTAGATATTTAAAGGTAATTATCACAGTAAATATTATGATTCTGTGTCATTCTTTATGTTTCTCTGTTCTAAATAATCATGGCTTCCTGTGTTCTTTGTTGTTACCGTTCACATAACTGTCACACATTTATTTAGTTTATGCTGTATTGATTGTCCAATAGATGGAACTATTTTCAATTCAAAATTTGCATCAAATGACATCCAGCAACCGAAATACAAAAACAGTCATGAGCAACCTCCCCTTTTCCAATGCCCACTTTTTCTACAAACATAAAAAACTTAATATCTGCCTACCTTGACACCTTCTTTCATACAGTAGATCTGTAGAGCACTCACACCATCTGAGAATGGGTGAATTTGTAGATTAAATGGAGGGGATCGTCTCTCTCTTTCCTTGAAATACAGTGAAGAATATATGGGAATTAAAAAAAAAAAAAGCAACAACTGATCAAACACTAAACCAGTTGTCTGTGTTCTCTCTTTATACTATTTTAGCAGTTTATCAATATGACATTTAGAAAAAAAAACCACAAATAAAACATGAACTCAAGATGTTCATGGTTACATTTAATGGGAAGACCTGATTAGCTAACTAAGAGGTATGGGAGAGAATTTATAGATCGTGTCATCCAATCTTGAAAATGGTTTGATTGGGGAAATGTGGGAAGTGGAGTTCCAATTTAAACTATATGAATATTTAGAGCTTTCAGGTATCACAAAGAGTGATCTTTTGACCATGAAGTTTTATGGCAGCAAACAGCCTTTTGCATATTCAATCCACTCAAGCTTTATGAGTAAGATATGTGGGGGCTACCAGCGATAGCTCTTCTTTACTGAAGCATATCGACTGCTAACTCGATCCAAATCTAATTTGAAAAACTTCAAGAAGAAATTGCTGCCAAAATAATAGAGAAATCAAATGGATTTTTTTCTTCTTTATATATCAGTATATGTTCAACCAGACTCTAAGCCAGATTCTGCACGATACAATCAAAACCTGATCTGATTGATATATTTTACTTAAAAAAAAAACACCAAAAAGACTAAAATTTGGTCAGATTAATCAAAGTATTTCCTAAAACAAGTTACCTTGCTTCTTAGCCTTTGACATAAATGCATTATAGACTAAAAAAGCTGA